ACCTCGAATCCTTAAGGCCAAAGAAAAAGTGAAAAATCAAAGAACACATGACGCCGAGAAATGGAGACAGAGATATGAGAAGAATGAACAACAATTGAACAGAAGTAGAAAGTAAGGCCCAGGATAGAGTAGGTTTGAGAATGTTAGTCGGAGGAGGCCTATATTTCATTTGGCGCTAACAAGCTTAAGTACTGTCAGTCAGTCAATTACAACGTAGAACTTCATACGTACGTACTTCAGTTCAGGTTGCCATATCCCATTAGCACAGAGACCCAACTCTCAGTTCAAATTTAGGAGTGATAGCGATAATAGAAGTATTAGCAGTAATGGAGAAGATTAGGGTTCGAAGATATGATCCAAGAAGTCTAGTTCAGTGAGATAAGTTTAGAAAGACAAAGGTAGAGGTGTTGACAAATAGAGAAGATTAGAATTTGAAAGGACACGAAGAGTGGATGCACCTGTACCATTGCAAACAATTGTGAGCCATGTCATTCAAGGTCCCTAATCATCGGTGACTTTCGTCTCACGGACCCCAACCAGGCAGCCTACATCTACCAACATGACTCATTCCGGTTGTCAGTGACTTCATGGATTTCCGCTATGTTTTGGTTTGGCCTTAAGTAAGTAAAATTCTAACAAGAGTATGAAAAAAATCTTCAAAATCAATACAAACCACTCAACTATGCATCTACCTGATGATTTAACTATTTATATACTACTGAAATAAAATACTCTAGTAAAGCAATTCAAAACTACACATTACTATTATTATTATTTGTTCTTCTGGAGTGAGAAAAAATTACCACACCACACAACACAATACAATACTTAGCATACTTCAATGGAGTATATTGATAATAATTTTAAATTTGAGAAAAACACACATACACACACACACACACAAAGATTGTCAATAAATGTGGTTGTAATGTAAGCAAACAAAAAAAAACACAAGCACACACAAAAAATGTGTTACACAAGTTGATTCTTTGAAATGGAGGCAGAGACTACTACATTTTCTTTTGTTCTTCTTCTTCTTCTCTCTATTTAACATTAAAACTAACATACCAAAATTAACACAATCTAATTGATGTTATACAGAGAAACACAAAAATTGGAGCAGTAGTAATAAAGGATTGATTGATGAATGAAATAGTACAAAATCAGATAAGTACAATTTAGCATGTAACAACTGGTTTGCATTATAGTATTATTATTATGGAGAATTGTTGTTTTTACACATTGAAATTATGAATAAATGATTGTTAAATCTGGGAGCACTGGATGGGGCTGTCAAGTCCTGGTATGGGACAGTTGGGAATGTTAGATCTTTAGAAGTCACGCATAAGTTGCTTGGGTTGACCTTCAGCTCTTCCAAGGACGTTTCTGTCATGTATATATAAGCTCGATTTGTGTGCTTGTCGACTTTGTATTTCCTGGGTGTTTGTAGAATACACATTATACGCCTTATCAATAATTCTTGATCTAGTTAGCCGGGGGCCAGGGATGAACGGATTAGGATAGCCTATCGTGTCACTATATCATTTACCTTCGTTCCGTTTACCGAGTTAGGTGAACACTCCTAATAGTTTCAAGCATATCAGGGACTCATCAGTAGTGTGCATCAACATCTCCTGTACCTCGCAGGATCCCAAACCAAGACCTTCGGTTTTGCGCGTGAACGCCTAACATCTAAAGTACTGGGCCAGTATCCAACGGTATTAATGTCTAACTCTGATCAATCTAGGAATTTTGTACAATCTCCTCAATTCTGTAATAAAAATCATAAGAATGTGCTCACTAGTGACTAGCTTCGTGAGGAAATTCTCGGAATTCTAGAGCGATACTTTGACGAACGGAGTTCAAGGGTGTTGGTCGTGAAGCATTGCCCACCGAAGACAGAGGATGAGGTTGTGCAAGACCGTAGATTCATTAAAGTCACTAGTGAGCATATTTGTTGATTTTGCATTATAGTATTATGGAGATTTAATGGTGGTCTAACAGTGATTCATATATATATATATATATCGAGCCAATAAACCAATAAAATAAATGTTTATTGCATCAGACGAGTGGTAAATTAACCACCGTGACATCTGACTGTTAAAGACGCATAACTTGAAAAATTAAGTGATTTCTGTGTTATTCGTGTGGTAAAAATGCGTAGTGAATAATAGTGTTGAAGTTATGATCATAATAGTACTGTATAACTCTCTCTACAGGGTGGCTTAGTTGTTTAGGCGTTCAACTTGTACACACCACGTTCAGGGTTCGAGCTTCACTCCACCTACTTCGGTTTGGGAATCCAGATAGTATCATTAGTGGATACACTAAGAGTATGGGTCATAATCCAAGTAACAGGAGGATGAATTAATTTTGATAAAGAAATTACGACTTCACACTGATAAAAGTGACCAAGAACTTTGGTGTGTAATGTCATTAGACGATAATCGAAACAGGAAAACAAAGTAGATTGTAGCACAGAACCAACCAAAACTTTTAAAACTTATTGTTCGTCTACCTATTAGAAAATAAATATTGAAAGATTTTTTGCACTGTCGTAGAATTTCTGCTACATGATTGTTAAAGCTACTAAGACACACACACACTGCCAATTGCTAATATATGATTGTGGAGATAGTCGAGTTTCACTTAGATCATAAACCGGTCAATGTTGGACACCGGCTCAGTTGGTCTGTGAGACCGACGAACCTGGATTTGATTCCTACGTGTTAAATAGTGAATGAGGAGTCCGACACGAGGCTGAAACGGCTGACCAGTACTTCCAGGTTCTTAATAGTGCTCCAATATTGACCAGTTTTTGATTTAAATGACACTCCTGATTATTACCATGTTGTTCTCGGAAGCTTTTAAATATGAAACAATCACACTAATCATTCCAACGATATAACAGTACATTAACAAACTGATAATCAAACATAAATAATATTGAATATTAGTACAATGATTGGAGAGAAAAAAATACAGTTTGAATAATTCTTCTTCTTAAGAGACACTGAACTATAAAATTACTCAAAAAATAACAACTGTAAAGCACTTTAATGATAAGAACAAATTACAGTTTGACAAAAAACTCAATTATATGGATGATGCAACTCCGCGCCTGGAACCGCGTTATAGGGTTACTACCGGTCTCGAGCCCGTGCATAAAAATCGAGGTTTGGGTATGCAGGTTAGTGACCCCATCTAAATACATTTCTACACATTTAAAATCATCAATCATTGTTAGACCAAGATTAGAAACCTGGAAGCACTGGACGGCCGTTTCGTCCTGGTATGGGACTCATCAGCAGTGCACATCCACGACTCCTGCACCTCGCAGGATTCGAACCCAGGACCTCCGGTCTTGTGCGCGAACGCCTAACCTGTGGTCCACTGGGCCGTCATCCAACGGTGTTAATGTCTAACTTTGATTAATCTACAGATTTTGCGCGACCTCACTCATTTGTCTTTGGCAGTTACTGCCTACACCCTAACAGGATTGAACTCCACTGGCCACGTCTTCTCACTAGAACTCCGAGAATTTCCTCACGAAGCTAATGAGGAAGCTAGTGAGCACACATGAAAATAATTTATTAGAGAAAATTTAAACAAGAAAAAAGTTGCCACCTATTAAAGATACTTAAAGATTTTAAATGCTTAAAAATATACTAAATGCTAATGAAAATTATATATTTGAAAGTCAAGTAAACATTCTTTGGACAATTACAGAACTCCTTTATTAGACATGGGTCAGTTTATGCAGCTGGATCATAATATCCTATTCAATAATTTGTGTAGCGGCATAAGTATATTTGTTTAAATAACTAAATTTAATATAGAATACGTGTATATGTATGTATAAAGTACATGTGTATAGGGTAGTGACTAGAATTTCAGAGAAGACGGTTACCATGACCATGTTTTACACCCGTATACTGGAACAGAGCAAACTGCTGTGCAGTAAACTCGTTCTTCAGTTAGAAGACGGATATCTCGCCTACACCATAAGTGACGCAAGTTGGCAAAAGCCAATGGAGCCTTCCGTATTCATGCTGAGATTTCGTCAGTCACCTTACCATCAGCACTGATCAGACTCCCCAGATAAGTGAAGCGGTCGACACGCTCAAACACTTCATCCCCTATCACTAGTTCAGGTGCCGAAGCAAGCCAATCCTGAAGCAACATTTTACATTTCGCGGCAGAGAATCGCACCCTGAACATGCTTGCATTGTTGCTTAAAGTGGTCAAGAGACACTGCATTTTGTCTGCGTCTTTAAAAGACACAGATTCTAAGTCAGTCAGTGAATCTCCTGATAAAAGTTCAACTCCTGAAAAGTTGGAACGGTAGCGACACTAATTGATAATACATAGATTAATTAAAAATATAAAACTAAATGGAAGGGAAAGAAGGAAAAAAAGTTACTAGCTACTAAAATATTACTCAAATTCCATTAAATAAATAGAACCAAGTAGTGTATTTAGTTTAAAAACTGTTAGGATATTGATTACATATCCCAAAGAAATTATTTTGTGGGTCTAATTCTATTGGTCCATTCTTATTGGTCAATATTTAAGGTCGTTCTGAACTAACAAGTTCACATGCTTTAAATGTTGTTTCTTATTGCTTAATATTGACGGTCAACCTAAATGCATAAATATGCATTGTCTGTAAAGTTTTATGCTCCTCTTCTTCTTCTGGGCGCTTGTAGAAAACACTTAATACTCCATATCAAGACTTTTGATACCGTTAGCAGGGGGCTTCGGGAAGCTCAGATTAGAATAGCCTATCATATCACTGGATCACTTGTCTTAGCTCTCGTTTACCGAGAGTAAGGTGAATTCGTAATAGCTTTAAGCATACAAATTGACGAGTATAACAAAAAACCATGTTGTGATATGAGAGATGATTTCATACTGATGATAACAACAACAACCACAAAAACAAACTGTTTTGTTTTCATTAAACAAACCAAAAAAAACTACACATAATTCATTACCGATTTAATAGTAATGAAGATCGTCGACGAACCGCTTCCAAAATACTTCCTCTACTACCAGTAATTGATGAAACGGACTGACGTTGTTTCTGTATATCCGGTTGAGATAATAACACTTGATCTTGACCAGGTTCACTAGAGTTTTTATTGTTTTTTTTAGAAGGAGAAAAGAAAACAAAGAGAAAACGATGAGAGGAATAGATAATAATACACACTGAGTTTAACAACAACCACCACCACAACAACAAAATCAACAACAGGAATAGTTGAAAGTGTACAATTTCACAATAATTATTATCTTAAAAAGCCAACATTGAATTGTGATTTTTAATTATAGCGGTTGATTAGAGCTGAACATTAACACTGTTGGATGTAGAGGCTCAGTGGTCTGCAAGTTAAGCGTTCACGTGCGAGACCGTAGATACCAGGGTTCGAGTCCCGTGAACGGGGGTAGTTGATGAGCACGTCCAATTACTAGGACGAAACAGCAACCCAGCTCTTCCAGGTTTCTCATAGTGACTGGTCCAACAATCATCAATCCATGATTTATTATGAAGTTTATTTGTAAACTTTACATCAAATTAAATGGAGACATTACATTATCCCAAATGGAGTAGAAATTTATATTGTTAAAGTGTCGTGACTTAATGCAAGTTAATTCTTTAGAGCAAATACATAAATAATCGAAATCAACTTCAAACAAGTTTAAATAATAAAAAAAAACGGTCTCATACAGAATCAGCTTAAACAAAACAACCGACCTGACATTGACAGTGCTGAAATAAAAATCAGCCTTGTTTCCTTTTTTTACTATTTTAAACTTGTATTCAGTTGATTTCAATTATGCTGATATTCAGTTTGAAAAAAAATCACTTATGCTGAATAGCAAAACGTCAGAAATACAAATTTCTATTCATTCGGATATCACCGAAAAAAATGACAATTATAATTATTATTAACTTTCTGCCCAATTCTCAATTTATTTGAAACTATCTAATCCAACTAGGGCACTGATATATAAATATACGTACATCAGTTCAAGTTGCCATACAACATAGGCACAGAGATGTAATTGTAAAATCAAATCGCATTGTAGTAGAGGTAGCAAAAGTACTAGCAGTAATTAGAGAGATTAGAGTTCGAGGATATTATTTAAGAAGTATAGTTCAGTGAGATAAGTTTAGAAAAAGAAATATAGAGGTGATCAGGAATTCAGCAGGTTAGAATTTCATAGAACACAACGAGTGGATGCACCTGCGCCATTGCAAATGATTTTGAGCCATGTCATTCAAGGTCTCTAACCATCAATTACTATCGTCTCGCAGGCCCCAACCAGGTAGCCTACATCTACCGACATGACTCAGTCCACTTGTCAGTGACTTCATGGATTTCTGCCACATTTTGGTTTGGCCACCCCTAGCTTTCTTCCAACCTACTCCTACACCACAAAACATAACTCGTCGAGGCAGTTGGTGGTTGCGCATTCGTAACACATGTCACAACCACCTCAACTGATGAAGTTCCAATACTTCATCTATTGACCTGTTATCCTTACCTAGGACCTGCGTCCTAACAACAGCGTCGCTTACTTGGTTGTCCCAGGATACACGAGCGATGCTTCGGACACACCTATGATCGAAAACAAGCAACCTACGAATATCTTCTACTCTCACTGGCCGTGTTTCACAGCCAAAACGTATCCGTGCTGGGATTTCGTTAGTCACCAGGCGACCAGAACTGGTGAGACTCCCAAGTGAAGCGGTCTACACGCTCAATTACTTCACTACCTATTACTAGTTCAGGTACCGATACAAGACAATCATGAAGCAACATTTTGCATTTCAAAGGAGAGAATCGCATCCTGAAGATGCTGGTATTGTCGCTTACGGTGTATATATACATATACGTTTTTGGGAGTATTCATTTTCCCGAGTTGAATGGTTTAATTGAGGAGCTTTAATTGTTATACTGGACAACATCGCTACCGCGCCTACTTTATGTTAAAATGAAGTATCTAGCTATACCACGAGTGTTATATCCGTTTATCCCAATAGTCGGCTTTGCCACTAACTGGCTGACAGCTTTGTCATCTTTATTCTAATTTCCATTCACCTTGATTGATTATCTTGGTCGATCTCTAACCTTGACTTCACACTGATTATTATTCTATCACGTTCAGTCGGTTCATAGATGGAGTCAATAATCATGTGCCTTATGAGTGATAACTGGTTTGAATCCTATGCTTCTAAAGATCCTTTCTGACGTTCTTGGAGTTTTGAATAACCGATATTTTAGAAGTTTCTTTGTTTTTCAATTGAATTCATGTCGATAATGAACCGAATGCGATGGTGTATAAATCACAAGTTCTAATTTCTGCACAGAAAGTAATCTCAGATGAGCTACCTTTCAAAAAACCACACAAAGAGTTGATGATTTAAGATGTATTAGTTGCCAGACAGTCGTCACCGGTATATAAGTATATGACAAATGCATTACACATTGAAATAGTACCTATCAATTAACTCAGTATACAGTCCCTAGGTTTGATCCTATGTGTTGTTGAGGATTTTTTTCCGGTCAATCTTCATCAAAAAAAGCATAGAAATGCTATTTAAGTACTCTCTCCAATCTTTACTAATCTGTAACAAAAATTTCACTCAAATTGAAATCCTGATGGTCAACAATTAAAAACTAACCGACTGACCTTGTAATGATGAGTGAATCATTATTAAACCACCATTAGAAACCTCGAAGCAATGGACGGCCGTTTCGTCCTAGTATAGGATTCTTCAGCACTGAACATCTATAACTCCTGCTGCTCGCAGGATCCGAACCTACGACCGTCAGGCTCATACGCAAACGCCAAACCTTTGAACCACTGAGCCGTCACCCGACGGTGTTGTTGTCTAACTCTGATCAATCTAAGGGACTAGCTTCGTGAGGGAATTCTCGGAATTCTAATGAGAAGACGAGATCAGTGGAGATTGAAGATACCGAGTTCGAACCCTGAGATTTGCAGGAGTCGTGGATGCGCACTGCTGATAAGTCCCATACTAGGACAAAAAAAGGCCATCCAGTGCTCCCAGGTTCCTAGTAGTGGTCTAACGATGATTCATTCATGATTTCAGTGTAAAACAACGATCTACATAATGTTATAATGCAGGCAGCGATAGACATTGTCTAATTAGAAACTACCTTACAAATGAACTACATGCAATAGAGTGTAATTAGTAGAAACTATGACGTTAGATTAGCATCGAGCCAATAAATATCAAATGACTGATATTAAAAATCTAAATCAATATCTTTTGATTCAATGCCCACTGTGTGACCTTCAGGTTCAAGGATTCACTTATAAATAACTTCGTAGGTGAGTTTGTAAAATTAAAACGAAACAACTTTTCCAGTGATTTTTTCAATGTCAATGATTTGAATTTAGAAATTTCTTTTCTTAAAAAAAAAAATAACTAAGAGCAAACTACACAATAATACAGAATACGATGCAAATGTAGAAAAAACACTCAACACAAAGTGTGCTACATAAGAAAAAAATTGTGTGGAAAAGAGAAAAGAAAACCATTGAACACCTTCAACATGAAATGACAACAACAACAACAACAAATTGCAGAAGAAAGAAAAATAAATCCGGTGGGACGCTTACAACAATAAAGACCTGGCAATTTTGACAAAATGAATATAGCCAGCCAGCCAGACCATAAATACACAAGTGCAGACAGAGATATGAAGGACTTACTCATTAGGTGATAATGGTGTGATTTTAGGAATTAATCTAGAATAATTTTAATTGAAATAATTATGTAAAAAGATGAATAAAAAATAACAATAATGGACTTGTGTAACATTTATACACTTTTTGATGAATTTACATCTCCGACTGGAGCGATTCTAGGGTTACTGCCAGTCCTAAGCCTGGATAAAGGAGGAGAGTTAGATATGGGGGTTGAAGACCTCATCTCGTAGAAATCTAACTGGCAAAAGTCAGTTACAACGTAGAACTTCGTACGTATGTACATTAGTTCAAGTTGCCATAACCACATTAACACGGAGACGGAATTGTCACTTCAAACCCCATAGTGGTAGAGGTAGTAAAAGTATTAGCAGTAATCGGAGAGCCTAGGGTTTGAAGATATTATTCAAGAAGTATGATTCAGTGAGATAAGTTTAGAAAGTCAAAAATAGAGGTGTTGAAGAATCCAGAAGATTAGGATTTGAGAGAACACAAAGAATAAATGCATCTGCGCTAACTCGCTTAAACAAAACGCTAACAAGAAAAAATAATTCGCTAGTCGGTGGCCTATGCTCCATCAGGAGTAACAGGCGTAATTAAGTAACCAAGTAATGGATTCGCATCAAATTACCCTGGTCCAGTCGAGAACGGGAAGAGTCTGGTTGATCTTCCACGCTGCAAATGCTCTCACATGACCATGTATGTATAGCTACTGAAAGAACATAGTTCAATTGAAGGTCATCTCATGAAACAAGTATTATTTACGAGAATTAAGGTGAAAAGCAAATGTTTGGCGGGAGCTTTGAACTGGGTAGGGCAGATACAGAGGATCCATACCTTGAGGAGTTGGACAACCTTTATCCCAAACCAAAAGTGCACATAGGCTCCAACATCCTGAGTAAACAGATGGCACATATTGTTGTTGATCACCATACATGCTAACGCTGTCTTATTATTACCTCGTGGATTACATAGGCAGATCAAGAGGTTAAGGAATGACTCGTTTTTGGCACCCATGTAGTAAGTATTTTAGCCCACTCCAAAAAAAATTCAATAGTTTATATGGCGAATAAATATTAAGGTATCCCTTTGTATCAATAATTAATTGTATTCCGATAAATAAGTAGAAAAGTTACATCCGTTCAAATGAACGCGATTGTTTATATAATTTAACCTTTTAATAATAAGTAATAACAACTATTATTATTATTATTATCAATACTATTATTACTAGAGACAATCAAAAGGGCGATTATTCTCAGTTGTAATCTTTTATTTGAATAAAATGATAGGTTAAAAAATAATGAGAATTCAGTTGGTCAGTCAACAACAACAACAACAACATAAAACTACGTACGTACGTACGTACATACATCAGTTCATATTG